AAAACAGGTTTACCACTGCAGAAAGAAAAGTCACTCCAACACCATAAATTGTGGAATGCATGATCAACCATAGATTGTAGTCACTTGCAAGTTTCTCTCAACTATCTCTTCAAGTAAATCCTTAAATAAATGTCAAACCCATGAATAGTCATCAGCCAATGGTATTATAAGAACTGCACACATGTATGCACACTTCCCATACTGCTAATGACTGTCTACAAGCAAAGAATGCAAAGCATTATGCTCATTTTGCTTCAGTTAATTTATCTTTTCTACAAGCTGTGAATTTAAATATATTTCTCCTTCTCAGAATATGGTTGGCCTGATTGGGTTTCTAGCAGTTCAACCACTTGTACCATGATAGAAAAGGAAAGAACCAGTGCATGCATTTGTTCTAGTCTGGTCATGTAATAAGAGAATCAACAGTTATTTATCTCTTCTTCCAGCTCAAAATACTAACTAGAATAGAAGTCTTTTTTCTCTTCTAAGCAAATCACCTACTTAACAAAATGACGTATCAGTGAAATGAAATCATTAATCTCATTTTCACAAGTCTTTCTTTGGTCACAAGTACTCTGCAGCCTTGATAGAGTCCAAAAGCTTCTCCAAGTTCTTGTGGGTGACAAATTATTCTCCACCCTCTAACCTCTCTCCTACAGGAAGGATGTGGCAAGCCTTTTGCTGTTCTATCACTACTTCCATGGAAAGTGCCTGGACAAACTATATTCCATGGTCACATCAATTCAAACCTTCATGGCAAGGACTCACCATGCCAATTACATAGTAGCAAACCACCCACATTCCCTCCATATTCCATCATTAAGAAAAAAGTTCCACTCTAACAGCTTCTTCTCATGAACCACTGCATTATGGATTTGACTCCCAAGAGGATATTTCGATCTTAAACTCTTCAAGGCTGGGGTTAACTGTTATCTCCCACTCCTCTTTGCAACAAATTGCCTCCTAACATAACCCTCTACCTTGAGTGGGACCCAGCCCTTGTAAAGGGTGAACCTTAATGTAAAATAAAAAAAGTACTTCTCAAAACATATGCCCCCTGACTGATTTCTGAGATAGAAAATTTCTTGAGAAAAAAAAATCTTAAAAATCAATGCAATTTCAGCAACCAAGTAAAACAAAGATAAACAGAAGAATTTTGTGGTTCACACTAACTCAAATCAAGTCTTGATTACATGGTTCAAACTAATATTTTTAACAAGCATTAACTTACACAGAAGAATTTAATGTGGAAAAAGAAGATGAAAATAATCAAAACTTTTGTTTTTTTCCTATTTTTCCATTTTTGTTTATCAGAGACAAAAGAAACACAACAAATGAAAAAGAAAGATTAAAAATTGCCAATTTATTTTGCAGTGCAATAATCAGCAAATTAGTTCTGTAAATCATTAATAACGAATGCAGCTTTAGAAGAGAATTCAAAAAATATATATAAGTATAATGTTATATAGGAGCATTTACGTGAAAGCGAGACAAGTAGGAAGGTGAGAATGATAAGAAAATGCTATCTTGACAAAATTCCATTAAAAAAAAAAGCTAAAAGCATAAAATACACAAAAAATATACCCTGACCAAACTGTTCTAAAATAATAACACATAAGACAACCTAGATAAAAAATAAAAAATCATATGATAAAAAATAAAAAAATATATATATATATATATATATATATATATATATATATATATATATATACACACACACACACACACACACATTATATACAACTGGTACATACAAAAAAATATGGATTTTTTTTTTAGTCAGAAAAAAAAGTGTGTCAACACCGAGAAACAAGTCTGCCCTTTTACAAGCATTCTTTGAGAATAAAAATATGTACAAAACGTTAAATCTTGAAATGTCAGCAAATGCTTGAACTTAAATATTCACATGTAACAAATGTTTTACATTTTTAAATTTCAGTTTTTAACTTGCTAGTTTCAGTTCAAAGTGTTGACTTCTTTTCAAGTAATATTTTCTATTTCCAATGACATTAGAATTGCTCTCACAAAAGAGAAATTTGCCATCTGTCCTTTTTCCATTTAAACCTCCTCAGGAAAAAGACATTAAGGCTAAAAAAAAACAAAAAAAAAACAACCAAAGACTCCATAATTTTCAAAATCCCACAGAGACCTTTTTAATTTTCTTAACACTGATTATGAAAGGAATTATAGACATGAAGGATTTTATTTATGCAGCCAAGTTAAAAGGGTTTGCTGAAAAAGGAAATATAATTCACTCAGAAGATATGTTCATCCAAATTATTACAGGTTTACTATGCATAAGATACCATTAATAGTTATGTAGTGAAAGCAGTTTAAATAAAGTCATTAATGTTCTATCAGTTGATAGTTTAGAATGAGAGAAAAGAGAAATATAAGTATAGTCAGTTGTTGGCCAAATCTGATGTTTAAAAAAAAATGTCCTTACCCCAAATATGAAATATGCAAAAACAAACAAGATAAAATATTAAGGGTTGAAAATTTTAGGACCTACCTCCAAAGAAGAACTGCTATAATCTTCATTTTCATATGTTTAACATTATATAATCCTGTTGGCATCATGACAACAAAATGGTGCCATCAGTGACAAGAACTGATAAACTAAGATAAAGGGAAGATTATTTTGAGTAAGGACTTATTTTTGAGAACCTATAACATGTTTATGTTTATTAAGCAGAAACAATTACATTTATGCTAGACAATTTATTACTTTTATAAATAAAAAAAATCATAGTGTTAGCTTTTCACTCTGGAGTAAAAAAGAAAAAAGAAAAGTGTTTCATTTTTCAAATACCAAGTTATTTAAAGCACAATGAAAACAATACTTTGTGAGTAAGAATGAAACTGAAGGTCAAATGAAAAATCTCTCTACTTTCACTGAAAATAAAATAAAAAGAACTTTGAACATAAAAAATTGGTTTCTCTAAAGAAGACAAAAATTAATGTATTTTGTTCCCAGAATTGATTAACATTTTTTCATTAACAAAAAATTATATGTGAATGTAAAAAAAATAGTAATAATGAATGAGAAGTGAGTAACCATAGTCAAATGCAAAATAAGTAAGAGAACTATTCAACAAACAGAACTGACAAAGTTTGCAATAAGACAAAGAAAAGAAAAGAACAAGGCAAAAAATAATATAAAGCAAGCAAACAATATATTCTAGTCAAAGTAACAGCAAAAAGAAAAAAAGACAAAAAGTCCACAAACTTAGAATTAGCGTTGACACATAAAAGCAGGTTTTGGATAAGCCAACATAGCACTCTGACTTCAAGACAAGACAGATTGGGACTGAGTCAGTTGAAACCAAAAATCAGCCTATTTTATTGCCTAGGAAAAAAAATCATTGAATGCATTTGTGTGCTTCTGCCTACAAAATGGGGAGGGGCAGCAAATTGTAAGTACGTTGGGGTTTTGAATTCAGAGTTTTTCTTCTTGACTGGCTGCTACCCAAGCTAAGAGTGTCCAGTCTGCTCTACTATTTAACCTAGAGCTGAAAGATAAGTAATATGAATTTAAAATGATAACAGAATACAAGTAAATTTGCCTCACTCCCAAACTACCTTGCCAAAAAACATTATTCATTAACTATGATAGAAATTAAAATTTAATAATCAAAAAGTGACTGAATTTAAAAGAAACCAGTGAACTGTTAGTTTTAGCAATGAATGCATTCAGTTTTTAATTCATCTTGAAAATAACATTTATCTCTTATACTGAAGTGTTCTGACATTGCCCCAATCCACAAGCTATGAGCTAAACAGTAGGGCAGACTAGGCCCTTCAGCTTTGGTTGGCAACCAGTCTAGGAGAAGGGAAACTCTAATTTTCCAAACACTGTTAGACAGAAATTGTTAGTATGGGAGCACATGGTCATCTAAGGGAAGAAAGACCCAGACAGAAGACAACCCCCTTCCTCAGAGTACAGGGGTTGGGTATATAGAGCTAATCATCCCATCCTGTATAACAATTCAATTACAGAAACCTCGTCAGAGCCCATTTTCCTATATTGCAACCATTTTAAAAGTAAAGTGGCTTTGACAAAGTGTAAAAAAATTTCCCTAACAGTTGCCAACAGGCATAAAACTAAATTATTTTTAGAGAAAGCTCAAAAAGCTGAAGACATGTAAATTTCCACAAAGCAAATTTTTTAAAACTGAACAATGTTGACTCTCAGTTCCTTTTTCAATGAGGCAAGATTTCAATGAGTTTATTGAAAAGATAATGCAATTATGTAAAAAACTCTGAAATACATTTGCAGCAGTGAATTTCAACAAAGATTTTATTAAGCAATAATACTGAGGCCATTTGAGAGCTGAAACAACACTATATATAAGAAAGCACAAACCTTATTCCGAATACAGACTGTTCCATTGAAGAGGCCAAGGGCCATGTAAAGGCCATCGTTTGTCCAACTGCAGCAGGTAATGCGGCTATTGACCTTTGTCTTGTCAACCCGTTTTTGTTCAGGAGACCAAAGACCTGTATAAAATAAATCAATCAAAAATCAAAATAAAAAAATTCTCAGTTAAATCAGAAAAAAAAAAAAAATGTATTAAATGATTCGATAGATTACAAATGTTTACACTACATTAGCATACAAGAATGTAGAATACTGGAAAATTTTACAACAATCATTTTCGGTTGATTTGTTTTCTGTTTAAGAGTTTTAGCAATGGAAACACTATAAACGCATATGTACATATATAGAGATGTGTGTGTGTGTGTGTGTGAATTAGGATCAAATATAGATCGAATATGGATCGGAATCTGACAGAATGATAGGATAACGAACAAATAGGAAATTTTTATATATTTAACATGTTTTGTGTTTATTAAAGCTAAATCAAAAAATAAAATATGGAGGAAAAAAGAAAATTCTGGTATTTTCAATTTTTGTGTTATTTGTAGGCATTTTTATCCATATTTTCCTTATTCTGTCATTATATATATATATATATATATATATATATATATATATATATATATATATAAAGTTATTACATATGAACATAGAAGTTACCACTACAAAAATAGATATTTGTTTCAATGCCTAATTCAAGCATCTCATCAGGTGGTGATCAAAGATGGTTATAAATGATTTTATTTCAAAATACTACTTATGAAACATCACTTCTTAACATTTTTTAAAAATTTAGGAAGACATAAGAATTTCCATAAAAGAAAAAAAAAGGTGCAAGTGAAAGCAGAAAAAAAGAGAGGACAATAAATCAATAAAAGGCAAAAGAAAGAAGAAAGAGAAATAGAAAAAGGTAAGAAAAGAAAAGCATAAGAAATTATCCCTTCTCTGAAAAAAAAGAAGAGAAAAGGAAAGAAGAGAAAGAAGATATATCAAAATTTACTAATACAAGAAAATAAAAATAAAAACAGTTGTTGATAACAATTTAGTTAATGAAAAAACATTAACACTGAGATGGATGTCATAGAGAAAATTCAAAATTTAACTGAAAAATTATTGCAACTAGATAGAATTAGGCATCAAAACAAATATGCATTTTTGTCATGGTAACTTCTATGTTTGTATGTAATAACTATTGCTCTACTTTTTGTATTGAGCCCTCTTTTAAATTAATGTTATGAATGTATGAATTTATATTCTTTTCATTCTCTTTACATCTGTATATATATATATATATATATATATATATATCAAATAGCACACACATATATATCATATAGCACACAATGAGTGCTGGTGGTAATAAAACATACTAATACTGCATATACATTTTGTTCCTCACAATTTGACAGTTGTATCAAACAGTGAGGAGCAAAACAAATATTTATTATTAACATATACAGTGTGTGATGGATAAATTGTTGTCTAAATTATGCAACAATGAAAATAACACTGGCATCTCATTTTAACATATATTTATCAAAATTACACAAAAATATGAAATACTAAAGAGTAAATTTATTCAACAAAATTGCCATTGGCTTCAACCACAGCCTCCAGACAATTTCAGAATCTCCTGCAACTCTTCTGGATGGTTTCCTTGTTTAAGTTATTGAACGCTGCCATAATCCTTGCTCTCAGTTCATCTTTGGTGTTACAAGGAGTTTTGTTGGTCTCTCGCTCAGGAACTTAGAAATATTGTTTTTGCCAGGTCAGTATACAATGTCATAATCGTAACACCCAAATTCCATTGAATTTTGTTGTTCTTTATTTTACCAAGTCCTTTTGAATTAAACATTTAGCTTACAGCTTTCTGATCAGTAAAGATAGTAAAACACCCCCCAGTTAAGAGGTGAGACCATTTTCACACAGCTTCTATGGTAGCACAAGCTTCTTTCTGAACAGCAGAGTGCTTATGTTTGATATAAGAGGGGGTTCTTGGAAAGAAGGCAACCAGTCAGCCCGCTTGGTTCAATGCAGCAGCTACAACAGTATCAAAGGTATTAAATTTGAAAGGAAGGTTTTCATCAATAGAATGTAGTAGGGTCTTTTCAATCTCCTCCTTAAGGTCATTGAATACTTTGTCAGAATTAGAGTTGCAAGGGAACAAAGTAGTTGTTATTAAGGGCTTAATCTGATTGGAGAATTTTGGTACCCATTGGAAAAAATAAGAAAATAGTCCAATTACTCACTGTAATGCTGCATTATCTTGAATGATCAGAAGACATAACAAATGATCAGGGGACATAACAAATGATCAGGGGACATAAGCATTCCAGATAGGGTCTAATTGATCCTTGGCTGAGCAGATAGCCAAGCAGAGTGTCAGTTGCTAAAGTGCTTTTTTCTCATTCATGGATGGTACTCATTCATTTTGATGGTACTTTTCATGTCATGCTCCTCCCTCATTTTAGCACAGATTGTTACATTATTTGCATAAGTAAATGTAGCACGAAGATCTTCAGAAGAGATAAGGTTGTTTATTATCCTCTGAAAGCAAGTCACTCCATTAGTAATACCAATAGGTATTCAGCATAACTGATATAGGTGACTGTCAGCTTCAACAGCAGTATACTTTTTCTCAGCATCCTTAATCGGTACTTGTTGGTACACACTCTTCAAGTCTAGGGTACTGAAGTAGTGATACTTTGCCACTTCATGTATTACATCATCTATTTGAGCAGGCAGGGGATGTGTCCAATAATGTTCACCAATTTATTGTTTGTGAGTTGTCTACCACTATCCTTCATTTATGATTTGCTCCTGAAGTGATCAGAACTTGAGCTCTCCTTCTCAGAACAATCTCTTTGTTGCTGAAGCAATGAAGATTTTATTAGTATCTAAAAAGCACTGAGATTTTACAGCTATGGGCTTGGAATTGGGGTGTTACAATTATGACATTGTATACCGACCTGACAAAAACTTTGCTCTTCAGCTTGACAATTTTCTCAAGCTCAGCCATAGTGTCTTTGAACATAAGAAAGTTGGTGATGTACTCATGTACTGAAGGTTCTATGTAATTGATTAACAATTTCAGTTTCATTGAGTGGTCTAAACCTTCGCCTGGTGGAGACAAAAGGAAATTTTCAAAGGTCTTCCTCCAATGTATCTATTCATTACCAGCTGTACTACTAGCCAGATCAGTAGAGAAATATCATAGTTTCAACAGTCTTTCCATGACTGTAATATTTTTTTTTCTTAAAACAAGTTCTGGTGAGGCAAATAAATTGTAGTAAAACTGCAAGTGGCCAGTGAACATATTAAAGGTTTTATTCGCCTAACAAAGAATACAGAAAGTAAAAATAAAAAGTGGAACAGTCCATCCTAGACAGAAGGAAGTTTAAATAGTTCAACTATATTGTATATTTATTTATTTTCGTCTAATGTTCGAGAAATCTTATTAAAGAAAAATTTGCAGTCTCTAATAAGATTTCTTGAATATTCAGGCTGGTAGACAAAAATGAATAAATATACTGCAGTTTAATAAATAAACGGAACGTCTACTCAATTACAAACAAACAAATATATCCACTAAAAAATATTACTTTAAACTAAATTTTAAAGTGATAAAAATCTATCGGATTAATAGAAAATCTATTTAAAAAACATATGTGTGTGTGTGTATTGTAGCCTGTATGCATGTATAGCCAGTTCAGTGTTGACGAGATCAAGGGGGGTCGAGCAGCTTCACGAATGCGTAGATAATATGGATAGTTCCAAAACGACTAAATAACGATAACTCTTCTTTTTATTGTCTGAGTTACTTCCCTTAGTTTTCCCTTTATAATACGAAACTATTTTTGCGATTTATTATTATTTCTAAAATTGAATTTTCAATTCGTCTTTATTAATATACATCATGAGTTAATGAAATTAAAATTGTCAAACTATGCTAGATGATCTTTTAATTCCAGAGAAAAAAATTATCTAGTGCTATATAAAAAAAAAAATTGGAAATTTTGTCAAAATCATAGCAATTAATTAATAAAATGTTGACAAGTGTTTTCTTCTGTTCTAGAAAAGTCACACTATAAAAAGAACAAAAAGTAGAAAAGAATGATTGTGGTAAAATTTAGCAAAACTGAAGGGGACAAAAATTAGAATGGCGTTTTTTTGTTTGTTTTTTTTTTTCTTTGCTTGGATTCACAAGAAACTACTGAATGAGAATTATTTGGGATATTTATTTGTTAACGAATATAGATATTCTTTTAAATAATTTTGTCTACTTACCAAAGTCAGTAACAGCACAACTCAACAGTCGTTGTGTGACTGGATTATAAGCCAAGCACTGAATAGCATCATTATGACTGGAAGAATGAAAAGAAACAATTTTATTTTATTTATATTTCAAAACTTTTTCACAAAAGAAATGTTTTAACTTTTTAGTTAATTTCATCTAAAAGAAATACTTGAACATTTGAGTGAATTTCATTTAAAACAGGGGGGGGGTGTCAAACATGGCACACTTGTTTCTGGCACACAAAACTTTTTCATTAGATTCTCTTTTTGACTTACTTGTATTCTTTCTCCTCTTTCATGTCTATCATTATCTCATGTATTTTTATTTTCTGTCCTTCAAAAATTATACAGAATGTCATGATCATCAGCTAAGAAACAATGTCATTCAAATGAAGAGATGTTAGAGAATTTAAAGAATACTGAACTGAAAAATTTGGCATGATTAAGAAAGACAATAAAGCCTTATGCATTTTCTGTTCTGAAACAATCATTTCCAGGACATCTTCTGTAGAGAGATATTTTGAAAATGTTCATAAGAACTTAAGCAATAAAACTGAGGAAGAGCAAAAAGAATTAATTTCTTATGAAAAGACAAAAGAACAGGCTGATAATTTTATGAACTTTATTTCAGGTAGGCCTAGTTCCAACTTAGTTGCTGCTAGTTTAGAGGTTTCAAAAGTTATTGCCCAACATGAAAAGCCATCCAGTGATGGGGAGTATATTAAAGATGCATGGCTAAAATGTGCGCCTTTCCTTTTTGACAGTTTTTCAGAAGAGGAAAAGATTATTCAACACATTAAAAATTTGTCTGTGAGTAGGAAAACGGTTAAGGATACGATACTCAAGTTGGAAAGGAATACAACTAACTGACAAAAGATTTGTTTTCATGTAAGTACAGACATTGCATCACCAACTAGGCTAGCTATATTTTCTTGATTTTGTAGAAGTGATGAAGTATATAAAGAGATGGTTGCTCTTGTAACACTGCCTGTGCGTACTACTGGGGCTGAAATATATAAAGCAGTTGTGAATGAATTATTTACTCAACAAATTCACATTTCAAAAGTAGTATCTGCTACAATAGATGGTGTCCCCATCATGGCTGGTGAGAAGGCAGGATTTGTAAATCTGTTTGCAAAAGATGTTGGTCATCTACTGATAGGTTTTCATTGCATCATACATGAGGAAGCGTTATGTGCAAAAGCTGGCCTAAAGGAATTTCAGAAAGTGATGCAAACAGTTACCAAGGCTGTTAATTACATTTCTGCTTGGGCTTTAAATAAAAGACAATTTCATTTTTTACTGATTGAATCTGTATATAAAGGATTTAAAATGTGCAACAATTTTTTGTTGGCTTAGCTAAGTTTTGATTCTGAAACGATTTGTTGAATGTTTAGAGGAGATAATGCTTTTTTTTTAATGACCAACAAGTGTCTAACCAAGAATTGTCTGGCATCATGTGGGTTTGTAAACTGATGTTTTTGCAGATTTTTGTGAACATTTAAATTACTTGATGTTATGTTTGGTTACATAAAGGCTTTTCAAATGAAACTAGAAGTTTTTAAGAGGGACGTAGATAATGAGAGATTTAGATACTTCCCAAACCTAAAACGTTCATCAATGATCTCCCAAAAGATGGCAGAACAAACTGCTAATGTCTTCAAAAGCTGTTTGTAAACCTCACTGAATCAACTGTTGAGCAGTTCTTTACAAGATTTGATAAATTCAGTGAACTGGAAGAGACAGCAAAATTCATTAAGTTTCCAGACAGTATCAAACTGGATGAACTAAACATGCAAAAGTTTTCATGGACAGACATAGATATTTTTGAAATGCAGTTGATTGAATTTCAGAGTAGCTCAATTTGGAAGCAGAAATTTGTTGAACTTAGAGTTGACTTGGAAAATATTGAAAATAAACAATTAGAAATGTGAGTATCTGAGAGAAACGCAAAAAAAACAATGTATTAAGGACTTGGAATATCATCCCAGAAAATCTTATCTGTTTAAAAAACCTTGCAACAGCATTACTATCCATGTTTTCACCTACATATGTTTGTGAATCTTTGTTCTCAGTGATGAACTTTGTTAAGTCTCGAAACAGGAGTAACCTGACGAATGAAACTATCAGTGCCTGCATATCTCCCAAATATCAACCAGATATAAAATATCTGGCATCAGCGATGCAGCATCAGAAATCCCACTATATAATATATAGTGTTATTTGATGTTTTCTTTTGAAAGTTGCAAAGCATCAGGGCTGTTTAAATGTAGTTTTGAAGGTAAATAAATATATTTTGCTTTTTTTTAATACATCATTCATAAGGAATATAGCAAAAGTTTATTTTTAATAACCTTTTACTGTGTTTCAGTCACAAAAATGTATAACTGGGAAAAAATGATGATTGATTAACCAAAAAAATAACAATGTTTATTTTTTGTGTTGACAGTAATAATAGTTAATCATGTATTTAAATTGTATGAGTATGAATGGCAGTTACATTTACACTTACAAGCTAATAAAAAATATCACAAAAACATTTTTGTAAAAACTTGTCATAATTTTTTTCATTCAGTCAGTTTTACATAATTTGCATAATTTCTTACAATACTGCATCTTTACTGCTCTGGGGTGTTTTTTTTTTTTTTATCATTTAAAAAAGTTCTTCACATACTTAAAAGATATCAAATAATATATTATCAAAATATTTTTATTAGCGCTTGGAAAAACTTTGTGTCAGAGATTTGGCCAGTTTTGGCACACACTCTCAAAAAGGTTACACACTCCTAATCTAAAAGAAATAGTTTAACTTTTCAGTAAATTTCATCTAAAGAAATGGTCTAACTTTTTAGTGAATTTCATCTAAAAAAATAGTTTAACTAACTATTCAATGAACAGAGAACATTTTAAAAATCTGTATGGAAATATTGCAAGAGTTCGCTGATCTGACTCATTAGATTTAGTATTGCTGTTTTAAAATGAAATGTATTATTACTATGTAATGTTTGTGTATACATATGTTCATTTCATTTCCAGTAGACATAAATGTTACAAGATTGAAATAAACTTGTAACATTTGTTGAAATTCCTTTCATCTACTTCCTTTCTTTGAAAATATATCTGCATAGGGCTCTAGTCAAATTGTTTCTAAGAAAATCCCCATGACCACCTTATTAAGAAAAATGTAACATTTTTTGTTCTTAATTTTTTTTAAAGTTGAAGACAAAAATTGCGGTTGCCGGGGCTTGTTTTTTAAGGGCATCTCGGCATTAAATATGCACACCATGACATTTTGCATGGTGCTGCTGTCTAAACTCATCCCTGAAATATGTGTATTGCGTATAACTTAGTGGCATAAAACTCTCTCTGAGATCAAAGCCTTTTTGTCATTCCTTTTCTTTCAGCTATTCCATTCATTCCATGAAATAAGGTATTATTATATCATGGATATAATAATGCCAATAATGGGGGAAATGCAAAAAGGAGAATATTCACTTTCTTCCATAAATCACTCATTAATAGCATATACATCATCAAACAACTCCATAAAATAAGGAAGTCGTCACATAGAAAGTTGTACATCTGCTATGTTGATCTCACTGCAGCATGTGATCCCATTAAGAAAGATTTCTTTTTCTCATCCATAAAAAAAAAACATTTTGCAAGCTTTCACTCCACTGACTGCTTTGATTTGATAGAGAAACTGTTTCAATCAACTGTTATATATGTCTGGTTAAGACCCCAAAACTGGCTCATTTTAAACCTTGTCAAAAGTATGAGAAGGAGAATATGAGAGTCCCAATGCATTTAATCTTTTTGTAGACTGTGCTTTGGACATCTCTAAGCACCAATGTGAATAAACTGGTGTACAGGTCAGTGTACTGATGATGATGATGAGAGGGGAGTGCATTTGGCTGAAAACAGAAGTATCCAGAGTTGGCATAGAATGAACTTGAAAAAAAAAGAAATATTCTATACTAAATGTTCCAAGAAGTAGGACTTCAGATAAACCTTTCTCAAAGCTGAAACTATGGCCTGGGATCTGAATGAGAGTAGTGAAGGTACCTAACTTGAATTCATCATAAAAATTCAAAATGTGGAATTGACAAATTCTAAACACTTCAGATAACTCAGTGTGTGGGTCAGTTATAACAAATTTAGTACAGGAGATAAGGAAATGAATTCTTTCTAGCTAAATATACATTTTATATATGCACCCTGTATATGTATAGGTTTTTGAATATATATATATATATATATATATATATATATATATATATATATATATATTAAATAACAAAAACATGTTTAAATCACTACACAATAGCTTTCTGTTCTTTCTTACATTTGGAGATATATATATATATGTGTGTGTGTGTACATATATATATATATATATATATATATATATATACACACACACATAGAATGCCAATTCAAGTAAGTTTTGTTGAAGATAACAAGCCAGTTATATCTATTAATACTGTATATACTTGTGGATAAGCCAACTTTATGTATAGTGTAACTCTTGAATATTTTTTCATGATTTTTAACTGCACAAGAAAAGAATTTACCCATGTATAGTGCAACTAGTCCTTGAAAATGCATTGATTTTTAACCTCTTCCAAACAATTACCTGTGTATAATGTAACCCCCTATTTTTTTGCTTAAAAAGCTGATCATAAAGATTTGCACTATACTCAAGCATAATACATAAGTTTTACTTATAAGCAGATTACTTTCCATATCTTTGTGTTGAAAATGTAAAAGAATTGTCCACAGTTTGTGTTAGTTCCCATTGAAGTTCTGAGCTTTTGACTGACTACAGTTCTAATTAAGAAAGAAAGAATGAAATTTGATGAAATTCAAAAGTTAGTTTGCATTTTTGGAATGATTTTCAATTTTAAGTTTGGAAAATGTCGTCACATGAATATGATATTTATTCTTTAAGTTTTGAAACACTGCAATATTGTGTGACTGATGTAGAATGGATTCTGAAAATTTAATTACTTTATACCATCAACACCAAGACAAAGAAATTAATTCATCACCAAGAAAAACTTGTTAA